AGAGAGAGAGAGAGAGAGAGAGAGAGAGAGAGAGAGAGAGAGAGAAATTAAGGCTCAATGACTTTACTGGCGCTTGCGTGACCACCGATATTTGGTCGGTTAGCTTATAATGTGATATTAATATTACGATTGGTCGTTGTCTAGATGCTTCGCGAATATGTGTGTACATATCTGCGGTGCGCGACAATGTTGTGTGTATGTTTATATGAAATATCGCGTTACCATGGTTATATTATTTGCATTGGATTAATATAGTATTATCGTCGAAGTATTTATGCCGGAATAATTATGTCGAGACAATTGGACGGAACGCTATTGGAGTATGAGAATACGAGAGTATGAAATATGAGAGCCTTTCAAACACACTGAGCAATAAGTTTTAATTTCTCGTTTGCACCGAATATCTTTGGTATATTTTTCAAGTTCTGAACAAGAAAATAACAATAAAAATTTAGTTCGTAACAGTTTTGGAATTAAACGACAATCTTATATTATATGAAATACGAAGGATCCAAATCTTGTCGCTTTTTATGAAATAACTGGAACGCATAAAGGTGTGTTCTAGTATGCTGCTTAAAATATTTCGGAATTTTTTCAGTTACGTAGTGTACTTTCCTTTGGTTTCTCCATAGTTAAAATATTGACACAGCAGCTTGTTAACTAACGTAAAGAGAGGTCGAAAATGAAAATTCTTCGGAAAATAGAACTTTAAAAACGGGAAAGAAGAGAATTTAATTTTTCCTGCTCTCTCTCTTTCTCTATCTCTATCGACTTGAGACCAACGGTTAAATTTGTCTGGGAACATAACACAACATAAATATTTCTTCGAACTCTTCGATATTTGAGATGGCTATTTCGATGACCCATTACCTGTATACAAAATTCGCACTTAAAGGAATATAAAGGAATGTAAAGTATACCATTCAATGCGCTTCTAGTTATTATCGGTACTATAGCTACTAAGTGATTAGATGTAAGAGAAGGGAAGAAATGTAATTTTTGGAATAGGGCTTTGATTTCGCGACCAAAATTTACTTTTTAAGCATTTGTTCAACAATCAAGGCCCGTTAAGTAAAAGCAAGCAAAATTACACTTGTATTATTATCAGTTCAAGTAAAAGTACCAGTTAAGAGAGAGAAAGGGAAAATGAGAACTTGCGCGTGATATACATTCTCGTCATCCTTCTCAAACTTACTGGAAGAAAGGAAACAACCTTGGGGAGGTCGCGTTTGTCAATCGTGAAGACACAATAGACAGCGTCCGAGCGCTGGTAAATTGTAACTTGTCGCGTTTTTACACTGTTCAAGGAAGAATCCAAGCAGGACAGCGACATGAAAAAAACCTAACTTTCTCTACGCTTTTTATTGAATTTTATCTTAAGAGGATTTTAATTTGAGGGTCAGTTGCTAGATATTTAATGTCGGAAATCGGCATTAAATTGCGGAAAATTGGAATTTCTCTCTCTTCCTTTATCTTTCTTCCTCTGAGAAAGAATCGACAAATTCTTTCGATATTTTGAATAATCCTCGCGCCGCGTCGCGCGCGTGCGTGATGAGCTTATGATATGATAAGATATATAAATCTATGAAATACTCTTGAGGCAAGTTTGCTCGAATACAATATGCATCTGTTGTTTGCGGGCATCAGTCCCAACGATCGGTGGCGATTTCACCTTTGCGAAAGCTTTTGATAATTGCAAAACGTGAGTCTCGCGCGCGCGTTCCGAAGTGCTCGGGACGCGTTAGTGTTACGTCTACGGCGTGTGGTCGTCGATTCATATAGCAGCCTACCGAGGCCCGAGTCACTAACTAATAACCATCGTGCACGAGGCGCGTTGCATAACTGTATTATTAATGCGGCCGGCATGCATGCACGTGCATCGCGCACATTCAGCTCGACGCGTCTAGCTCCGCGAACAGCGCAGCTGGATCGAAACGCCACGTTCATATCGCGGCCGCTTGTTGTGTCTACGAGCGGAAAGTTTTAATTCGACGCGAGAGAATCGACGTCGGTGGTC